CTGTTTGATTTTGTGTTTGATGGATGAAAATATGATATAGTTCCCATGATCTACTTAACTAAGTCAAAAAACACTCTGGGTAAAAAAAAAAAACATGTTCTGTTCCTGATTAAAGTATAAACTACGACCCCTGAAGGACACGCTTCTCCTCTAAAAGTGATTTTCTGTGCTCAGGTTGTTTGGCGGCCTGATCCTGGACATTAAGAGGAAAGCTCCGTTCTATCTGAGCGACTTTAAAGAGGGTCTCAGCCTCCAGTGTGTGGCCTCGTTCCTCTTCCTCTACTGTGCCTGCATGTCTCCTGTCATCACCTTCGGGGGGCTGTTGGGAGAGGCCACAGAAGGACGAATTGTAAGACACAGACACGTTTGCAATATTGTGTTTTCTGAAAATGCAGCAGAGATGTAATGAATAAAGTAAAGCGGTTTGTTCCATGCCTTGTTTCAGAGCGCCATAGAGTCCTTACTCGGTGCGTCCATGACTGGAGTTGCCTACTCGCTGTTTGCCGGTCAGCCTCTCACCATTCTGGGCAGCACAGGTCCTGTACTGGTTTTTGAGAAAATCCTCTTCAAATTCTGCAAGTATGTACAGATTTGAAGAACTCTGTCATTCCTCTACCAGGTTTGTTTTTCTCACTGATTATTTCCTCTCTTCTCAGAGACTACAATCTGTCCTACCTGTCTCTGCGGGCCTGCATCGGCCTGTGGACGGCCCTGCTGTGTTTGGTATTAGTCGCTACAGATGCCAGCTCTCTGGTTTGCTACATCACTCGGTTCACAGAGGAGGCCTTCGCCGCACTCATCTGCCTCATTTTCATCTACGAGGCCCTGGAGAAACTGTTCCACCTGGGAGAACTGTACCCTTATCACAAAACCAGCGATCTGGACAAACTCACGCTGGCATAGTGAGTAACAAAAACTCGTCTCACGCTTTTACTTTGCACAATTGTAACGTTTTGCATTTTTCTGTCACATTTATTATAACCAGAAGGTGCTTCTATGATTAAAGAATGCATGTAATGCCACCAGGTTATTGTTCATGTGTGCAGCTGTAGGTGTGCGGAGCCTGATAATCCCAGTAATAAAACGTTAGGGTTGTGGAGCGAGAGAAACATCACAGCCTCTGCTGTACCCTGGGCCAACCTGACCGTCAAGGTAACATGATGGAAGCACACACGCCTGATGGCACCTTGTGTTTGTGTAACTTTTACAGTACATGATAGTAGACAACTCAGTTAAAGTCTTTATTTAAAGGTTAATAATAATGAAAACAATAAACAATAATAATAATAAAACATTGAATAATAATAATAATTTAATGAACAATAATAATAATGATAAATAAAAATATTGAATAATAATAATTAATTATTAATAATATAATAATAATAATATAGTAATTAATAATAATGAATAATAATAATAATAATGAATAATGAATAATAATTTAAAAAAATATTAATAATAATAATAATAATAATAATAATAATAATAATGATGATGATGATGATGATTAATAATAATAATAAATGTTGCTGCTGTTGTTCGGGGTATTGTTTTTGCACTATTAAGTGTTTAGTGTTAGTATTTAGTTCACATCTTAGATCTTTTTACTGTTTGCTGTTACAATTTATACTTTTGTTGGATGTAACTGGGACCCTGTGTACACCATTTTGTTCCACCTCATGTACCACATGCAATGTGAATGACAAATAAAGAAACTTAATCTTGACCTTGATAATGTCCTGAAAATGTTCCATCACAGTCTTTACAAAGTCCTTGCTTAAGTAAATTAAAGTTTATTTCAAATTTCATAGGTCACCAAAATATCCATTCATTTATTTCTATATTCATTCATGTAACTTGCATTGGCCTTTTAAAGTTATTTAGCTTGAAACGTGGAAAAAAACATAAAAAAGTGTCTCTTTTGTGTACTTTATACTGATATCTAGGTCACAGGCAATGCCAAAACTTGGAAATAAACATTTATTTTACAGCTAGATTAAATTATTTCATTTATTGAACATTTCTCATTTAATATGGGAAAACTCTCAGTTTTTCAGCTGAGAGTCAAGAAATCCACACATGAACCATGTTGCATTCACTGTTTTCATAGTTTGTCCATGTATTTTTCTTTACTACTACAGATCAAATATTTAAATAAACTATAATTATATTTAAAGAAATAAGCTCATGGTGCATCGGTTTACATTGTTTCCTCTAAAATACACTGTGAAAGATCAGGAGAATGGTCTCAGAGTGAAGTCCAGAGTTTATGGGGCTGATGTGGTGTGTTTTTACAACCTGGTGATTTTAAACATATACCTGAAGTAATCTGTGATGATTTAATGGTAATGTAATTTTTGCAGGAGTGTATGAGTCTGCAGGGCGACTTTGTTGGGACATCATGTGGTCACCATGGCCCTTACACCCCAGATGTTCTCTTCTGGTCCATCATCTTGTTCTTTTCAACGTTCTTCCTGTCTGCCTTCCTCAAACAGTTTAAAACCAGTCGTTATTTCCCCACCAAGGTAACCCATCAAATTCACAGAATTTCTCAGTATAACTTTTGGAAATATTTGTGGCTCCGATTCTTAAAATGTGACATCAAAAGAAACCCCTTAGCTGTAATTTCCTGTGTCCAGGTGCGGTCTATGATCAGTGACTTTGCAGTGTTCCTCACAATTGTCCTAATGGTCCTGCTTGACTTTGCTGTTGGAGTGCCATCCCAGAAGTTAAAGGTGCCGAGCAAATTCCAGGTATGGAATGAATCTTCTTCTTTCCAGGGTCGCCACAGCGAGTCATTCTCCTATGTACAGAATGAAAACACAGCTTTAAAATGCTAAATCCCACAAAAGCTCACAATTAAAACATCATTGTTTATTTCTCTGTAGCCTACCAGAGATGATCGTGGGTGGTTGATCAATCCGATAGGACGTAACCCATGGTGGACCACCTTGGCTGCCTGTATTCCTGCTCTCCTTTGCACCATCCTCATCTTCATGGACCAACAGATAACCGCTGTCATCATCAATCGCAAAGAGCACAAACTGCTGGCAAGAGAGAAAAATGACAGGAAGTGGAAACATTGTCGTAGCTGAACTTCCATCTAACCAGCTGCGTTCTGTGTTTACAGAAAGGTTGTGGGTACCATCTGGACCTGCTGATGGTAGGGGTGATGCTGGCTGTGTGCTCCATCATGGGCTTGCCATGGTTCGTAGCAGCCACCGTGTTGTCCATCTCTCATGTGAACAGCCTGAAGCTGGAGTCGGAGAGCTCAGCTCCAGGGGAGCAGCCTCGCTTCCTGGGCATCAGAGAGCAGAGGCTCACCGGCCTGCTCATCTTCCTGCTCATGGGCTGCTCGGTGTTCATGACTGGAGCCCTGCAGGTCGGTCACAACGCACTGTTTCCCTTGTTGACTGGGACTTTTACACATTACAAATGACACATTTTACAATTTATTTTAAATAGTAAGACATTAGTTAATCTTTAAGGTGGTGAAAATATTATTTCTTTTGCGTGTCACTAGAGCAGAGGTGGGCAACATTTTTCCCCAAAGGGCCACATCAAGATGTTTAAAGCAATCAAAGGGCCACATGGAGAATTGGAAAATAAATATTCTTTATAACAAATAATCTAGAATACTTTTTTCATGCTTTGTCTTGTTGTAGCATAGTTAGCATGCTTTCTAAAACATGTCTTTCCGATTAGACCTGTCACGATGACAAAGTTTGCTGGGCGATTAATTGTCTCAGAAATTATTGCAATAAATGATATTGTTTGAAATTTAACAATAATTAATTGTCAAATTTTAAAATAAATTTTGATTTGTTTGGAGTGTAGTACCTTTTTTGACCATCTGATGGCAGTACAAATCTGTTTGAACCAAAGGATGGCTACAAAAAAGGTTAAATCATTTCATCTGGACCAGTTTCTTTAAGAGAAATGTCTCGGAGTGTCTCTTTAAGAAAAATGGGAGGGAGGGCCCTTGACATGACATGGACTGACATGGACTGACATGACGACATGGCGGACGCTCTGTGATTTGAGCTCTTTAGCATAGCATTTGCCACACAAAGCTTTTAATAAAAAAATCTGTAAACTAGTTCTTAGCTTCTTTCTGCAGAGATAAACAACTTTTTACATGAAGGCACGGGTTTCAACCGTGAATTTTGGAGCTTCAACAAGACGGACGTTTATTCCTGAGGTTGGCCTGTTAGCTTAGCTTCTCCGCTTAGCTTCTCCACTTAGCTGCTTTTAATGATCCAAAAACGCGATTTTGGATGGTTAAAATTGATTTAAAAAAGAAAAGAGAAAGGGAAAAGTCACTGGCTTTGAGCTTTTTGTCATCCAGTGTCTTCAGTAGAAAGAGAGAGACACAAAGAAACAATAAAGCCGATAAATGAAAATTAGGTCAATAATTTTCATTCATCATGCGATAAATTGATTTGTTGTTTATTGTGACAGGCCTATTTCCAATATGCTTTAGGAATATAAGACATATTCGGTAAACTGACTTGTGACAATATGTACACAATAGCTTAACATGTAATACATGTTAGTGGAAATATGCAAAACAAATGTACTTGTATTTCTAAGTCTTTAAGGTTTAGTCTAGGTCTGGAAACACAATAACTTAAAAAAAAATAAGAAAGTTGTGCGTAAGATGTTTAATTTAAATTTCTTTAAGTCTCAATGATAAATTACTGTTTTTTTTGTTTTTTTTACCAATCTTTTTAAAAAGTTTTCTTTTTTTAAAACTAAGGATATTGGGGACCTGATGGACATTGTCCAAGGGCCACTTTTGGCCCTCGGGCCTTATGTTGCCCACGTCTGCACTAGAGGAAGTGTGTATTGCCATTAAAAGGAGCAACACTGTAGTTTGAATATCTGGGGTTCGAAGCATTTAAATATATGCACAAAATAACATGGAATTACTGATCAGGTTACTACAGATGAATATTACTGATGGCTGATTGATTACTGTGTATGTGTTGATTATTTTACAGTTTATTCCCATGCCCGTGTTGTATGGAGTTTTCCTTTACATGGGAGCCTCTTCATTAAAAGGCATCCAGGTAACACACCACCTGACAACGACTCCAGGTTTATACAAGGAACAAATCTGTGGAGCCACTGAAAACTTTTCTGATTCTGCTATTCCAATTGGAGTTTGTTTCTTTTATTCTTTAAACTAAAACCCACATGAACAAATATTTTAGAGATATTCTGTTTTCAGATCTGATGAAACTCAAACAAATCATTCTGAGTTTTTCATTTTATGTTACTTTGCACGTTTTTTTTTACTGAACAAGTGCTTGTTTTCTCAAATTAAACAAAAGAATAAATCTAGGATTGTGCAAATGATATAAATTACCCATTGTTTATTTTTCAGAATCACCTCGTTGGTGCTGAAATAGTTTTATGATCATAATCAGCCAAGTATTTCTGAAATGTAATTTTGCAGAATGGTAGTCTTGGTATTTTTATAAACTCCAGTAAACTCAAAATTGGGAACAAACTCTAGTTTATGACAGGCTGCTGGTAATGAAGTGTCTAAGGGTCCAATTTAAAATGAGTTATGTTCTAAGTGGACTGGGATGTGTTGACACAACACTGTTCATCCCTTCACTTTAGAAGCATTTTGTACGTGAATGATTCATAGGTCAGTGTTGGGTGGGTCAAACACAAGGCAAAAAAATAAAAAATAAAATAAAAATCCTGAAAATGATCAGATATGAGGCAGAAAACGAGCAAAATTAACAAGTGAAATGAATTTAAAAGAATATGAAAAACTACGGATGAAGACCACTTTAGATAGTTTGAATGTCCAGCTTTTTAGAAGCAAAACATAATAAAATGATTGTAGAATTTTTTTCTTTTTTGGGGGAGCACAGTGCAGTACACAAAAAAATTAAATTTATTTAAAGTTTCAGGATTTAAAATGACATCTGGATTTTTTTCAAAGTTTAAACTCATTGTTGAGTATTGAATTGTCTTAAAAATCATCCACACCTGCTTTTTTAAATTGAATTCATGTGACAATCTTTTTTTTTATTTTTTTATTTTAGTCTTGCATTAGTTTAGTTCACCGTATAACTGTGACCCATGAACAACATTTGAAAAAACAGAATTACATTTAACAAAAACACAACAACATTTGGAAAAAATGGAATTGCATTAAGCCAAGTGGTGTTTTTTTTTTTTTTTTTGTGGGGGGGGGGGGTATTTTATTAACAACATAAAACAGAACAACACAACAATGTACAGCACACACACAGCATACCTCCGCCGTGTGTGCTAGTCTGCTAACTGTACCGCCATTGTGTGTATCCTGTACATTGTTCTGTTGTTCTGTTTTATTTTGTTAATAAATTTAAAAGAAATAAAAAAAAAATCTACACACACACAAAAAAAAACACCACTTCTGCTTTGGCTTAATGTAATTCCGTTTTTTCAAATGTTATTCTGTTTTTCAAATGTTATTCATGTACACCTTCGGGCCACTGTACACTGTTACACTGGAGCATTCCTCCTTTTGAAGCTTCTTGGGATTTGTCTTAGACTCACATTGTATATCCACACATGATACTATCAGCTCATGTTTTGACCTAGTTTATAGTCACACTACATCATAGGAGCTGCCTAATTAATGTTGGTTTTATCTACAGCCATCTATTTATTTATTTCATAAACAAGATTTTTCTTGGTTACTGATGTAATCAGACTTCATCATGCTCTCTAAGCTGTCACAGACACTGATTCCTGCTAATAAACTTTGCAGCCAATCCTGAAAGATTTCAGTTTCAGATGATTTTATGCACTTAGTTCACTTTTTGTTCTTTCAGTACGAAGGACACAGCAGCTCATATCAGCTGAGACTTTCTTGATATCAGTTGCTGCGTTCATTTTTTTTTTCCAAAGCCTAAACATCAGAGTCTTACTTTTACTGATAATAATTTTCCACTTGACAGAGAGTGCAGCTTTGCTCATATCAGGATGTTCTGTCACTCCAGCATCAGTTTATGACCATGATGATTAAGTCAGAGTACTTGGACAGCCCAAGTGAAAAATGTATGTAATTAGTTTTGAATAGTCATCAAAGGAATAGCAAGTAAAGTTGCCCTTGATTGCAGTTATTCTACAGATGTCAGTAATAATCACTTCCATCCGTCGCTCAGCTCTCGCTCTGATTCATTTTCTCCTCTACCCTCATCTCCACCCGGGTTCCTTTCTCCTCATCTTTCAGTTCTTTGACCGTCTGAAACTTATCGGTATGCCTGCGAAGCATCAGCCAGATTTCATCTATCTGAGACACGTCCCTTTGAGGAAGGTTCACCTGTTCACCATCACCCAGCTCAGCTGCCTGGTTCTGCTCTGGGTCATCAAAACGTTGCCTGCTGCGATCATTTTCCCCATGATGGTAAGCCATCTACGACCCACATTCCCTCGTTTTACTGTTTCTATTCTAGATAAGGGTGTGTGTTTATCCTTCTCCTGCAGGTGCTGGCTCTGGTGTTCATCCGTAAGCTGCTGGACTTGTGCTTCTCTGAACGAGAGCTGAGCTACCTGGATGACTTGATGCCCGAGTGGAAGAAGAAAAAACTTGATGACGATGCATCTAAAACGATGGAGGAGGTAGTCAAAACTGAAGAACTGAAAGCAAAGAATTATGGCTTACAATTTTTTTTTATTTTTTTTTACCGGATATGCTTGCATGTGTCCCGCAGGAATCGCTGGTCATGCTCAATTTGAACACGGATGATACGACAACCGTTCAGATTCCCATGGAGAGCAAACCTGTTCAGCGAGTGCACGACCCCAGGTGAGACCACACACTGGAAAACAGAGCAAGCTGGCCTAAGATTAGTGCTGAGGTCAAAAGAGAGAAGTGTCTCATTCCTCTCTGTCTTCTTGCATGCCTGTCTGATGGGTGCTCTGGTGAAGACTCCACTACTCTCCCTGATCTTTCCAATTTGTCCTCTGTCGTCCTCCTACCTCCCGTATCCTCTCCTTGCCTCTCAGGTGTGATCCCTCTGATATTAACATATCGGATGAAATGTCTAAAACCACTGTGTGGAAATCCCTCAACTCCAATCACAAGGATATTCAACCTGTAGCTGCTAAAAAGGCAAGGCCGTGCCGTTTTGTCCGCTCACCCGCTGGAGATATTCCTGCTGCACATTCTAAACACCTGCTTATGTTATGTGTCACTGCTTGTTATTCATCTTTAATAGTTTTTTTTTGTGTGTTTCACACTGTAGGATTGAAGGGATTGCATTCATTGACGAGTAGAGAATTTCTACATCCTTCACAAACTCGGCTGCATCACCTCGCTGCAGCTCTGGACCACAGACGGCTACATTTCAGCTGCTTCAGCCCAGTCAGACACCTCAGTACTTTACAGAAATAAGGTTGTTTCAACTTTAGCACAGTGTTGTCCACAAAATCACAAATCCACTCACGTGTGCTTCTGCCTTTGTGAGGTCTTCTAATACAATACTAAAAATTTTGATTCCCTAAACAAAGCGCTGAAAGCATTGAAATAGTCATGCAACACAACATTAATGCACATGTTAAAATTATTTAAGTACACGTCTGTTCCATCCATCCATCCATTATCTTTACCCGCTTATTCCATTTTGGGTCACGGGGGTCGCTGGTGCCCATGTCCAGCAATCACTGTGCGAGGGGCGGGGTACACCCTGGACGGGTCGCAAGTCCATCACAGGGACACATAGAGACAAACGAGACAAACAACCATTCACTCTCTCACTCACACCTAGGGACAATTTAGAGTTACCAATCAACCTAACATGCATGTTTTTGGTCTGTGGGAGGAAACAGGAGCACCCGGAGAAAACACACGCAAACACGAGAAGAACATGCAAACTTCACACAGAAAGATCCCAGGTCCAACCGGGTATTAACCCCAGGGCTTTCTTGCTGTGAGGCAACAGTGCTAACCACTGATCCATCGTGCTGCCAGTCAGTTAAACTGAATTCGCTAATCAAAACAATTCTCGACCAAATTATTTGAATACAGTCAGATTTAGTGTTTTGTCCAACATCCATCCATTTTCATTTCCTGCTTTTCCATGTAGGGTCACAGGGGGCCTCCTCGTGTGAGAGGCGGGGGACACCCTGGACATGTCTCCAGTCCATCACATAGAGACCAACGAGACAAAACATTCACACCCTCACTCACACCGAGGAACAATCTGAGTTGCTAATTAAAGTAACGTGCGTGTTTTTAGTCTCAGGAGGAAACCAGAGCCCCCCCCCAAAAAAAACAACTGTAGTGTGCACAGGAAGAACATGCAAACTACACACACCACTTCACCACCGTCCTGCCCTCATCAGAAAACATGTACCAGTACATAAATAGACTTAAGGGAATAAAGAAAAGGAGCAGAACTCTCATAGGAGGATTTTAAAAAAGCATCTTATCACATTATCTACCTGTAAATATTTTACAGCAATGAGAACTTCAAATTAAAACAACAACAAAGTTTTTGCTAATTTAATCTGAAGACAAATTATAAAGATGTTCTCTTTATTTGTTTCAACCGCATAAAATGGTAAACGGACTGTACTTGTATAGCACCTTTCTATCTAGTCAAGATACTCAAAGCTCTTTACAACACAATCTGTGCCCTCACTTACCCATTCATGCAGCACTCTATCTCTACTAAGATAATCTGAATCTGTAGAGACTAATCACAGCTTTAGATCACATTCAAACACCGATGGGACACACATCGGAGACAATGAGGGGTTCAGTGTTTTGCCCAGGGACACATCAACGTTTGGCTGCTGGTGGAATTGAACCCCCAACTCTCCCGTTGGAGGACGACTTCTCTAACCACTCAGTCACAGCTGCCCCATTAAAAACATTCCTCACGAAGACAGAATCTCACGACAACTCAAAAGTAATCCAATGACAAAACCCTTGTCTGCCCTTCTTCACCTCCTAGATAGGTACCCCATTTTAAATCAGCCTGCTTAGTTTTATGATGACTCTACCTTTAGTCCTTAAATATAGAATATTTGTTTTTAAGCCATTTTTTGAAGTTATTGTAGATTTTACAAACGTTTCAGTTCTACTGATAAAAGTACAAATCTTGTGCGTAAAACCTTTTATTCGTTTGTGTGATGACGTAAACTGAAAACTATAAGAAAAAAGTAGATTTGCCTCATTGGGATCATTACTGATCATTTTTAGGCGTAATGTTTATTTTCTCCGCTCTTTGTCTTTATAATGATGACTGTTTCATGTAGAGGCAGTTCTGCAGAATGTCTGTTATTAGTTTCTTATTTCTCATTATTATGAATGCTCCTGCAAAGCACTTTGGATGAAGTCCAGTCACAGAACCCCAGCAGAGGAGCGTGTGCACGAGTGCATGTGCGTTTACCCTTGTGTATCAAGGTATTGATTGTGAAACTTCAGGATATTTAAGCAATAATTTACCCGCAGTCTTACCTGAATTTACTGTAACACCTTTTTTTTTCTTCCTCTAGGACATTAAATGCTATCTTTATCCTTTATTTATACCATTTTTGGATAAAAGTACAAACTAAAAATGATTCAATGTACTTCCCTTTTTTGAAATTGGTTCCATTATGTGTTTGTCTGATAAATATGAATCTGTTTTGAGTTTACCTGTCAACTTAAAGGAAGCAGAAAGATTCATGTTTAAACGAATGTCAGTAACGCTTTATTTATGACGCACTTTCTGTAGATACAATTATATATTTTATTTTCCACAGATATTTTAGGATATTTTGCAAATGAAAATTATAATTCTTTATTTTTAGATGTAAAAACTGTATGGCATTTAAATAACTCCTGTATATATAATATAGAATTTAAGGAAGATGATTTTAAGAAGTCTACAAATGAAGCACAAAAGGTTTTATGAATGAAAACGAAACGCTTCATTATTTGATGGAGATCAAAGCTTGGAGAAAATTGGTCTGATAAACTGCAGCTGTTACGTTTTTCCCTGCAGCTAGTTAATTTGAAATAATGACTGATTGGTAAGTGACTAGATAACAACAAAAAGTCCCATATTTTTTAGTAAAATGCAGTTAAAAGGTGGAGAAACGGCATTTGCATGCACCCAGGTCCCAGCCTGCACTGATGTTGCTGGAACAGAGATGGAAGAAAAAGACGTGCAAATGTCAGTAGTTGTAACAAAGAATTGTATAATTTAAATATTTAACCTATTTATGAAAAGTTTATTTGTGTACACAATATGAACACTTTACAGCTTAGTTAAATATCGTTTCTTGCATTAGCTACTTCCTGTGATTCTTCCTCCCTTAATTCTTGTCAAGTGACTCAAAAACAAAATACAAAATTAACTAATTCTCTGCATCACCACATACAATAATGCCTCTCTCATGGCACATATGAAAGTTTGTGCAGTGCTTTTATGTCATTCTGCTTTGATTCTGCCAGACTTATGAATATTAACAGATTTGTTCAGTTATTATTTTTGTGCATCCAAGGACCCAAAGTAACAAAGTAAATAGCATGATTCCACAGTGTAAATACATGTACAAAACCACAGCTAATGATTCTGTGTTCGTGAAGGGAAACAAAACTAAACACAATTAAACATTCAGTAAATGTGCTGGAGATTTTAAATATTAGAAAACGCTGCAGTTGTTTTAGGCTCGACTCATCATTAATATGTGAATGTGCAGTGAGTAAACAGTGAAGCTGTGACTGCATACGGTCCGTGTGACCAGGAGGTAGTGAACCTGTGTTTGCTGTACATCTGTGGCTGCCATTAAAGATGTTTCCTGTTTACATCCTCCTAAAAGCACACCTTCAGTCAGTAACGATGCACATGCTGTCAGAAAAAAAAACATCTAAATTTTACTGATGATGATTGTACCGATCTTTATTTCTATGTCCCTATAGTCACTTTATCTTTGTGTGTGCATAAAAATCTGTGCACTTCGATGTATCTGAAAACCAATGTGTGTTTCCAGAAGTTGGTGCCCATAAAGGACCAGGATGAAAGATGTGGTGCGAGGCCTTTTGGAAAAAAGAACGCCTGTTTTGTAGTAAACTGAGAAACTACAACTTTTAGTCTGATTTGAGCCATAGTAAAAATGGCTGCCTTGTCTTGAGCAAACTGATTATATGTTTTATATATACTTGTAATTTAATTTTGATGGTAAAATGGAAAATAAAGAAGATACAACTGAAATGGTAGAAAAATGGCTATTGACTTGTTGATTGTTTTGTTTGGGTAAAAATGTCTCAGATGTTCAAGTTCAAGTAAACTTTATTGTCATTCCCATCTCATGAGGTACATGAGGTAGAATGCAATTATGTACAAAGGGGTCCCAGTTACACCCCAAAATAACAAAATATAAAGTATAAAAAGAAACAGTAAATAAGAATTTAAGATATACACTAAGTTAAATGCTAGAACAAATACCAAATGGTATACTAAAAGAACTAAGAAATAAAAGAAAAGAAAATAAACTGTCCAGATGACCAGATTGAAAATCGTTGGATTATATACCTGGATTATTGAGCATGGACTTTGTTTGTTACACTAAACACTACTAATGTAAAACAATGCGGCGTATCAACAGCAGCCTGAACATGAGTCTGTGGTGAGCAGATAGGTATGAATGAATACAGCAGCATAAGATAATCAGCAGCATGAAATAATCATCAGCATGTGATCAGCATGAATAATCAGCTGTACAGATAAGTCAGATATAATTAAAGTGGCATTAAATTGATTTTTCTTTTTCCCTTGCAGTAATAATCCTGGTTAGGGATTTATGAGTCTTAACAGTTTCAGGGTAGAAGCTGTTCCTCAGTCTAGTGATTCTACACTTAATGCTCCTCAACTTCCTAGCGGGGTAAAAAGTGTGTGTGCTGGGTGAGTGGGGTCCTTCATGATGTAGGTGGCCCTCTTCCTGCATCTGGAGGGGTGAGTGGCTTCAAATGTTATCAGCCCATTAAATGGCTGTTATTAGTTGTTATCATCCCCATATGTAGCGGTGAGACTGGCCCACCTACCTCCTAGTAGGTTTAAAGGTACGTTATTATCGTTATTATTGCTAATAATAGGCAGCGTTGCACGGGGGTAAACCAGGAAGTGTCTTTTTAGTTGTTTTCAGCTTATGTAACCCTTTTCGTAAGCTTACACGTGACTCAGAGGACCAACCCTAAACTTAACCCCCTTACCTTTGTGCCTAAACCTAATCAAGACACTACACCTAACCGCCAGACCCT